TATCACTTGGGAACCATCTACTAAAGAATATTATTTGGTGTTCTACCATGATATACATGCAGTCTTGGGCAAATTTATACAAACTAATGAAAATGTAAAGTATATCCAATATGCTGACTTTGATGGAATTAAGGAGATTGGATCTGGAGGTTATGGAACAGTCTATAGTGCCAAATATAAAAAGTATTTAGAAGAGCAGATGCCAGAAACTGTTGTTCTCAAACATTTCAAGTGTTTTGATCAGATGCTGGAATCATTTATTTCTGAGGTGAGCAATCTTTGATAGTATTAACTAAACTGACTTTAATCTGACTCTACATTTTCATTTAATAGTTCAGAAATCATGCCAAGTGTTTGCATGATCATGATCAGGATTTCCTTGATATTTATGGAGTGACACAAGACCCAGAAACAAAAGAGTACATAATTGTTATGGAACATGCTAATAATGGTAGCCTTTTGTCTTATTTGGTTCAAAATATAAACAAGTTGACATGGAAGATGAAATTACAGCATTTGAAGGATATTGCAGATTATCTGACTATTATCCATGATGCAGGAATTGTGCATTGTGACCTTCATGGCGGAAACATACTTTTACATAATGATGATGGTAATGAATCTGGGACAGAAGAAGAGCTCTGTATAAGTACATTATTAATATGCGATCTTGGTCTCTCACAATCAGTGAATTCACATAAATCAAATTCAACCATTCAAGGCGTTTTACCTTTTATTGCACCAGAAGTCTTCCATACCTGCAAATTTACGAAAAGGTCAGACATTTATTCTTTTGGTATTATCACGTATTTGATTGCCACTGGTGAACCACCTTTTCGAGATAGGCAGTTTAATAGAGATTTAGTATGTGATATTTTGGGTGGACTACGACCCTCAATTCCTGATCCAGCACCAAAAGAATACAAGGAACTTGCTCAGCAGTGTTGTCATGCTGATCCTGACATGCGACCAAATGCGCGGACACTTGCTTTTATTGTCGAAAGTCTTATTGAAAAGGCGGAAAAGAATGATTCTGATGACAGCATATGGGATACCATCTATCATAATGACGTAAGACCCTTATTACGTCTTGAAAAGGAGAATAAATATTCTAGTAAGCTTTTACCTACCGGAGATCTGCCTAAACCGAGGAACAGTTACGTTTATTCAGTTGCAGGTATGAAAACAACAATTGATTATAATTGACATAAACGATGCTAACTTACAATATTAACATTATCTATTACTATGTCTTATAATTTAGTGACTCAAGATTTTGAATAATCTTGTAATTTACGGTTTGTTTGCATTGCACGAGTTAATCTCGTTAAAAAAAAAAAATTCGCTGCGTTCATCGCGCTCTACTCTGTCCAGATTTGGCATACGTTGTGTAGAGTATGGCAGATACTGAGATCTCTGAAAAGACAGCTTAACAGCGGTGACTTTAAGATTAACAACAACGTAAATTTATTTAGTAGCTGTCACAAGTCTAAAATTTTATTCTTCTTCCAATTAGTTGTACTGACCGATATTAATGTGTCAATACATGTCGAGTTAATAAAAATTTTCGGTGAGTTTCATCGGAGTTGTATTAGTATTTTGATTTCTTATATACAAACATTCTTAACGTGACGAATGTCGACTTGTAAACCACAATAGTGTCCAAGCGGGTTAATTGTATTGGAAATTGGTAGTTGTTCTAGTTGACATTAGAGTTATGGATGATATTTACTCTTGGTGTGAATGCACGTTCTGTAACACATTGTTTTATACAGTAATAGTAAATTGCCCGACCCACAAATTTATACGTTGTCGTACGATGTGACACGAAATTATCGATATTAAAAAAAAGAAACTATTGCTAATTAACAACTGCACCAATTGTTATCAGTAACATCTATGTTTGATACTTTAAGACAAGGAGATTTGCTTAAAAAATTTTAATATGGAATTTGCTCTCTATTTTTTATCACGAGCTATAAAACTCGGCTGACTCTTTAGCGCATGTGGTTTATCAAAAACAATGTTCCAGAAACTTTTAATAGATCATAACCAGGACCCAGTCGATAACTTAAAAATAATAATTTGGCCATATGCTTAGAACAAAAACCCAACATCGTTGCCATCAAATTATTGACTTCTGTTGTAATATTTGTTTCTAACTTTATTTTTGTATTCAAATTGGTCGGGCCACTTGCGTTTAAATCGGTTTAATTTTTTATCAATAATTTTGTATCGCACTGTATTTCCGAATGTACAGTAATAATAATAAGAAACTACATTAAATTTTTAAAGCGTAATACAAATCGACAGCCTGTCTTATTTGTATTTTAATTCAAAAATACGGTTTATTCTGTCAACTCACTGGGTATAAAGACGAATACATTTGTAGTAATACAAGAAAATTTTGCAGAAAGTTTCTACATATGTATACAAGCGTGTTAATGTGGTATGTATTTCTTACGATGTTAGTTTTTTTTCTCGAGCCGATTGATGTATACGTGGCAGCAAGCATTTTAACTTATGCCCAGGAAATTTTTTTATGCCATGATTTCTTATCCGTTCACATAATTCCAACTAAATTACAGGTCTTCTCAACACCGATCAAATTTGGAAATCGATGATAAAAATGGAAGTTATTTGGTGGGGCATCCCTAAATTGGAAATTGTTTATTTTTCATATGAGACATCATGAGATGTGACATGGGATAGACATACATTATTTATTAACTTGAGTCAAGAAATTTTTTCTTTCATATTTATTACAATACCTAAGAAGCAAAAAAACCTCGGATCCTTTATTATACAAACCCCCACAACATATGCGGGTTTGATTGATACAAAATATTAGAGGGTGTCCATAATGGCTTCAATAAATCATTTAGTAAAATGTGCGACTAAAATCCTTGGTTAACACGATATCCTAAGATGATTTGCTAATCATTAAATCACAATGCCAACTTGAATTTCAATAGGAGTTTGAAGTCGAAAGGGTGTGGATAAATAGTTAGAATGTTACTGTAGGATACTAAGCAGTCGATTGAACGTAGATCGCAAAATGCGAAAATGAGATTTAAAACCATCATACTCGCTCTTGTCATTAAGATATGGAAATATGTTTGTCCAATAAGCCATTGTCTTTGGCCGAAGTAAACGAGAAGTACGATTAACGAATCAAACAGAAATGCTAATTTAATCTTGCATCAAATTCTTGTTTAGATTTATTACTTCTGTTACTATGAAGGCAGTAAGTCTTTCCGGCTGATAGATAGATAACATCATCATTAACAGTACAACAGTCTCATACAGAAGGACATTATTTATGCGCGTATGCTTAATTGCAGTCACTTATGAATTCTATCACATAAAGGTAAATATGGTATTAGTCTATTTAGAAATTTTTTGGGGACAGATTTGGGATAGAGTTTAGGGTAATTTTTATCAATAAAAAAGTATATTAATATGTGGTTTCAGAAGAGGCATTAAAGCGGATCCAAGATGACACCAAATTTCATTTTAATCCGATTTCGTTTTAAGCTGCCACAATTATCCATTCATCTAATAATATTTGACTAACTAACCCATTTCACGGATAGGAAAGCTAGTCTATTAGTAATAGAAACGGTATAATTTGAACACACCCCAAATCAATCAACGCGAGAAGGCAAAGGCACCGTAAAAAAATGGTATAGAGTATTCGTATTGCTTTTTGTCAATCACAAAACATAAATAAGTCAACCCTTGACATCTCATAAATTATGGAGTTGCAAGCCCTTTCCTAACTAATTCGTGGCGCTTTTCGTGTTTGTGCCCAAATAAAAACAAGCCCCTTTTAATCGTTACACGGCGCTTTGACTGTTTGCGGTTAATTTAAGAATTGTCTTTTTCTCTTAACAGACCGATTGATATTTGTCATCACTACTCGATCACGTTAGTATATTAAAGTCTCTATGCAATATAGCAAGCCCCCAGCAAATGGTGATATTAATTTGATAATTATGATTCGTCAAACTACTAAATGATAATAATTCCCTAATTTGTTGGTCTTGTGTAATACAATTTATCCGCAGCAACCAAGCGACGAATACAGTCGCTCAAAGGTCTTTCCTGCGCGAACAGGCTTATTGGCTTACTTAGCTTGGTCTCGAGAAACTGCTCATTATATTAATGAACGATTTTCAATTTATACCAAATCATATAAGAATCTGTAACAGCTCGGTATTTATCCTTTCACGCTCGCATACCTTGCTTTTATCTAAAACAAGACTTTTAGCATTCACCCTCTTTTCTTTGTTTAGCCGATTATTATTACCCTGCAGATGATCGACGATATTTATGTAGTGAGAGTTGATAATTAATACCAAGCTCTTGCTTAAAAGGTCGCAACATTCTTACTTCGATGCATTTTGTACACACATGTGGTCCCTATTCGGCATACCTATAAAGCAAGATGTCTATCGTGACACTTTGTCGTATATGGTAACGGGCTTTATTCCTGATTTTCTCTGACTTGATCCTAATAGAACTTCCATAAAATAGTAGGATTTCTCCTCCTGTGTTGTATATAGCTACTTTTTACTAGGCAGATAATAGAGCGATAGTTTTTTATGGTATAAACGGATGCGGGACGTAATGTTAAAGACTACTTTGTCTTTGGATATCGGCATTAAGGGCGTTAAGAGATCATACCCTTCAGAATTACGCGGATATGTGAGTATGTTGTTAGACGTTGGTGTGTTTATTTGGGGTGTTGATTGTATTCCACGTTTGGATACTGGGATTCTTTTGGCTCTATGTTTATGAATATTGTTAATCGACGTTTTGACCTTCTGTTGTTTATTCGATCTTCATCTTACCGATCCACAATCACATTCTATTATCTCGCTAAGTTGCCCGCAGATGACTATTACAATCGTATTCGAAGATTCAACGCCCTCCACATTGCACAACGCAATAAAATCTACGCTTGTGTATGTTTAATATTCATGTTACCCTTCATAATGGGCGGGATAGTGGCAGTGATTATTTTGACCAACACAAAACCATGGACGAGTAAAACGTATGGGTTGATTCTCTTGGTTCCGTTGATGACAATATTCAGTATTTCCGTACTGTGTGTCAAACTGCCCAGATTGAAGAAAAAGGTAAATTATATGGTGAACGTACGGATGGTATATTTGAGTTTATTGTCAAACTATTGATAGAAGGGATAGTGGACCGTCTCGTATCTTTGCTTGTTTATAACTGACTTTTGATGTTCTTACAAAGTTGGAGGCTGAATCGGCTGCATTGATTACTACATTCAATGCCGAAGACAGCGATCGTAGTATAGTTTGGAAAAGAGTACAGATTGCTGGTGATAGACATGTAAGCTTTTGATGATTGCCGTGGTTGATGACCATGAATAAACTATTAATCAAACGGCTGACTTTTAATTATTCGCTCTCTCACAGGATAAAGACTATCTAGTAATCGAAATCTTGCGCCGCAATGAGATACCTGAAATAATGGCCTCTTTCCCACCTTCTTACGATGCTACTACCGGATAACTTATCTTTGGAAGTTCGTAGCGTAATATAGACTTTATTTTGTGTTTAGCAGGAAACGTCAATTATGTGTGTTCTCTATATTGTATTTGTATTAAGACATACCAATTGCACATACAAGTGAACAATTCTTCTGTATATTAACAAGGCGGAGATATTACTAGCCAATAGAATTCCAACGATGCGATTCACCATTAAATCAAAGTTTTGCTATTTGTACGAGTGGACAATTTGAAGAATGTTAACATAGCTGTCTCCTGAATTACCTTTGACAATATAATTTTTTATGTGAATTAGTTTCCTGGATTACTTTCCCATTGTCTATATAATAATGTCGGCCGCTCCTGCTTTCCCCCTGCGTTCCAAGTTCGTATATGACAAAGTGATTAATTGGTTTCCAGGTCATATGGCAAAGGGACTCCGAGTTATGCGCGAAAAACTGGCATCTGTTGATTTAATCGTCGAGGCACGGGATGCGAGAATATCCTATAATAATGTGAATTATTTATTGCTTGTTAGATCCTGTCCACCCGTTATCAACTCTACCGAATTTCCAAGTTCACAATGCCTCTCCTTGACTCGTTTTTTTTATCCCTTTACACATCCCTCTTTCGTCAATAAACCACCAATTCGAACAATTTGCCTGGATGAAAGATAGAATCATTGTCTATAATAAAGCGGATATGGCCGATTCAACAAAAGAACAAATGATCATTGATATTTTCAAAGATTTTCGTAACCAGACCGTACTATTCACCAATGCTAATATGGACAAGAATGTGAAGAAAATTATCGATTTTGCTGCTGGTATGCCGACTGCGGGAGGGGGCTCTTGCGAGAAAGAGAATGTGTATAGTGGTGGGTATTTGATGCTCCACATGACTGATCAATCTGTTTTACTTTAAGATAAGGCGAAACAAGATTCCATGAGATATCCCTTTGTGACTGTACTAGTTGTTGGGATGCCAAATGTTGGTAAATCATCTTTGATTAATTCGATGAGAAGACTTGGGGTCCACAAAGGTAACTAGGCATGCAATCTACAAATGTACTACGATTGTCGTTGAACCAATTAACGTTTCGTATCCGCTTACAGGCAAGGCAGCGAAGACTGGTGCTATGCCTGGTGTTACGAGATCAGTTGAAGGGACTATAAAAGTATTTGAAAACCCAACAGTGTATCTTATTGATACTCCTGGTATGTTCGTATGGGAGTAGTCTGCTTCTTGTTTAATTGACGGTAGACGCACTCACGATCGTTGATCGGTTAGGTGTAATGATTCCATATATTGCCGATCCGATATCTTCGCTAAAAGTTGCATTAACAGGTGACAACGTTATTCTCTCCTATATGTAATAACATGTTGGTCTATGTAACTCACATTATTTGCTTTCACATCGCAGGTGGTGTGAAGGATGACGTAGCAGACAAAGAAATAATGGCAGACTATCTTCTCTGGCGTCTAAATCACTTTAGTAATTTCAGGTTCTTTTCCTCCACTGTCTTTTTAATTAAAGCTTTGTTTTCAATTATATCCTCTTTGACCACGGCTATATTGTTACTTATTCTTGTTTTCATCTTTTATTCAGTTACGTAGACTTTTTCCACTTGCCAGAGCCAACGGATGACATAACTGTTCTTCTTCCAGCAATAGCTCGTCGCATTGGTGCGCTACAAAAGGGAAGGGAATATGATCTCGACCAGGCTGCTACCTTCTTTCTAAAATATTACCGAACTGGAAAATTTGGTCGATACACTTTAGATGATGTGACTCCAGATATATTGCAAAAGTATTTGTTAACACCACGAACGGATGCATTGAGTAAGAATCAGGAGAAGAAGAGTGAGAAGGAGAGAAAGAAAGAGAAAAGATTGGAGAAATGGAGAAGGATGGGGATTGTTGTTAAGAAGTGACTTGGATATCGAATTGGGACATGTACCTATTTGATGGGCAACTGCTAAGGCAAAGGAAGAGCAGATGGCGTACATTGACTGAAGACCTGTTTACTAAAGAGCAGACTAAAGAGATATAGTCCCATTGGAGACGCGAACTAGATTAATACTACTAATAAGTATGGAAAAGGTAGTTATAGTAATAACAGCATTGGATTGATACTTTCCAACATACACAGGAACTATTGATTATGTAGCAGAAACATATGGGCCATTGTAAAGTTTGTGAAAGTCAACCGCGTCGAAGTGTAAAAGTTGAGGTATGTCAATGGTACACTTTCTTCGTCTATACATTAAATTCGCTTTATATTGGAGCACAAAATAATATTATAATTAGCATTTATAGTTTCATGTTTTATAATGGATACTACTTGGATTTGTTCTGGCCCAAATCAGAAATCAGCCCATTCCGGGAATGGGCCAGGCCCATGTTAGCATTCTCATTTGGGTTGGCCCATGTTCGGATTGCAACTATGTTACACAATTTCTTATTCGTTAATTGGATCATAAAATTATTTTAATAAAGTTACTGATTCATACACGTAGTTGTGAAGGGTGGCATCTTGAACCACAGCCGGTGCCAGTTCGCTTGCAAGGACACCTGTTACTATCACATTTAGA